GAGGACCCCAGCACCTCTCCCACTAATCTCCTCAACTCATTGAAGCTGGCCCTCTTAAAGTCTAGGGCTACTGCCTTGCTGCAGGCCCTTGACACCCTGGGCTGGATGGTGAATTCCAGCAAGCGATGATTGCTATCACCCAGGTGGTCAAGGACCTGGAGCCCTCTTACCTATTTAGTGCCTCTCTCCTTAAAATATGTTGGCAGAATTCCAAAGAGTATTTCAGAAGTTATTACAGAATTGATGAAGTTCACTATAGCCTTGAGCATATTTTTACTGGGTGGGAGCTAAATCATGCAAGCACATGTCCTGAACATTACACAGTGCCAGTGAGTGCTTTGTACCAACAAATAAACCAAGGGAAGGGTTGTTGTTAAATGTTTTAGTATCAACATGCCAGAGCTTTAAACTGGCACACACAACTGAAATCTCACCACTGAATAAGGAATACAAAGATTTTTCAGGCTCATACATTCTGGGGGTTTTTTCAGATGCTTTATGAAAATATACCTGTTGATTTAAAACTGGGTCTGGCTGCTTCAGTACATCAGGGATTTTAACTTTTTTCACTGAATGACTCTGCAGAGATCAGTTACAAGGGTAAAACTGTAGCAAATGCAGTTCACCTTCTCAATTCTCATTTTCTTTAGTTTTAAATGCTAAGCAGTCAGAGCTGGTATTTTTGGAAAAAGAATAGAAGATGGAATGTCACACACCTCCACTCCAGATTAAAAAAAAACCAGACCTGCTAGTTCCCTGACTCATGTCTGTCATTCTCATGCCCTTCTCTGCCCTGATATTAATGAACAATATAATCTCACTTTTTATAAATGAATGCAATTACGTGTGCAGCTGAGAAAACCAGGAATGGTTCTGTTTTCAGGAGATGTTTCTGTCATCTTAGAGTACTATTTTTCCTGCTTTTTGTAAATTTGAAGAGACTACTTACAGGAACTGGTCAGGAATTTCCAATAACACTTCTGTATTAATACTCATTTATCAAAACTGAAACTGTTTTCTGGAAAATTTCAGTTTTGATAAATTTCTTAACTCGGAAGATTTTTTCCCTGAAAAGAACCCTGACATTTTCCAAAAAGTCCATTTTTGACAACTAATAAAAAGTTTTATTTTAATAATATTTTGTTTATAAATATTAGTCAAGTTATTCTAGATTGCTAAAAATAAGTTAAAAATAAAAGACTGATGTCAGATTAATTTGGTTTCATATAATCAACATGAAACATTTTGAAACATACACATTTTTTTTCTCCAGATTTTCAGCTTGCAAAAATATTAGAGAGGGCTTATGTCCTTTCTTATGTTCTCAGGAAAAAATGCCAGTCTCTTGAAAGTTCTTGCATAACAGAAAGCTGTTTTCCACTAAGCTGCAGGCCACTTGACCTGTGGAGCTTGACAAAAGGAAGGGCAAACCCATGAGCATTTCAAGCCCCACCTCAAAATATAATGTCCTACTACTCCAGGGAGCCAGAGGAAAAGCAAGGGCAACACTGGACCCCTGCTAAACCAGATGGGACAACTGATGCCCAGGAAAAAGCAAACTTGCTAAATGGGTACTTTGCATCAGCTTTTCACCAGCCCCATGGGATGCCCCTGCCCGCTGCGGGACAGGGAGGCTCGGGTGAGGGAGATTCCTTACCCTCCATCAAAGCTGACCTTGTGAAGCAACACCTTGACAGGCTGGATACCGTCAAGTCAGCCAGCCCTAACGGTTTACCCCTAAGGGTAGTCAAGGAGCTGGCAAGCATCATAGCTCAGCCCCTGGCACGGATCTTTGAGAACTCCTGGTGCTCTGGTGAGGTGCCCAAAGATTGGAGGAGGGCCAATGTGGTGCCTGTCTTCAAGAAGGGGAGGAAAGTAGATCTGGCAAACTACATACCCATCAGCCTGACCTCTATCCTGGGGAAGGTTTTGGAAAAGATTATCAAAGAGGCCATCCTTAAAAAACTAGTTGAAGGCAATATCCTGAGAGATACCCAGCATGGGTTTGTTGCAGGTAGGTTTTGCTTGACCAATCTCATTTCCTTTTACGACCTGGTGACTTATCACCTGGACAAGGGGGAAGAGATTGATGTCATATATCTTGACTTTAAAAAAGCCTTTGATCTGGTATCCCATGATCACCTCTTGGCAAAGCTGGCTAACTGCAGCCTCGACCTCACCACGATCTGCTGGCTGGGGAATTGGCTCCACGGTAGGACCCAGAGGGTGGTGGTTGATGGAAGTAAATCGTCATGGTGCGCTGTGACCAGTGGGGTCCCTCAAGGCTCTGTCAAGGGCCTATACTTTTTAACATCTTCATCAGTGATGTGGACATTGGTGTCAG